GTTTTAAGCTCTAGTTTGTGATGTACTCTTTTGATTTCCTGGAAACTTTAAAGAACACAAAACATCATATACCCAATCAAAGTCTAAAACTTCAACAATTTACTTCAATCGTTTAGCCATCGCCAAAAGTATTGTACTCCATGGACTAAGTAAACTTGTATCTTTGAAAGAAAGACGTAACAAAATTTAAGTGATGAACAAAACATGACTAAAAATTGAAGTAATGAATAGATAAAATAAGAACTATTTTTGTCAAAGAATATCTTAAGTGGATCTTTTTTTGTTGGATTTATGCTCTCTCTGTTTGAGTGTTTTGTCAATCTTAGGTCTCTTATGTGTTGGTCTGTCCCTAAACTTAATCTCCAATGTTAGATATTGACATTGARCCAATTTACAAAAGCATTCGTATGCTTCTCCGTTCTAAAAAACGAATTCATAAATCACAATCATTATATCAGATAAAAGGAAAATAATGAAAACCAATAAAGCAGAAAAAAGGAAAAGGATACGTCTCTTTAACAAATATACCTTGTTGAAGAACAAAACCCAAATCAAAAGAACATGCCTTGAAAATACCTACAAAAGCAAAACCAAACAAAAAACCACACTCCTATGTACCAACTCTGTATTGGTTGTGCTGTTCTGATTAATCTCCATGTGTTCCTCGTCACAAAATTTCTTTATAGCATCTCAAACATTATTCTTCTTTTGTCACATTTCTTTGTGTTATCTTTCTTCTCTTTGTTGTATTAGATTCATAATTCGATTGCTAATAGCCATGCCTGGATTTTCATCTTTCTGCAAAGTACCTTTCTCAAATCTAGTTTTTTTTTTCATTGAAGTTTATCGGTACGATATTCTGAAGTTATGTGAGGATCAACTGATGCATAATGCGTTTGTGACTCATAATGAACACTTGAATCAGTCTCATACATGTTTTCTAGATCATTCACATATTCTTTCATTCGATTCTCCTCCAACTTTGTATGTACATGCATCAGTTCTATCACCTAATGCAACAGCTTCCCCAAATATAATTTGTTCTGATGTGCCTATGAAAACAAAATAACACATTAACAACCTGTAATTACATATTAAAAAGAATGAGATACTCACGTTTAGATGCCCATCCCAAACTTTATTAGGTTCTGTAAATCTTTTTATTTTTTTAGGATCTCATCCAAAACCAGAAAATGGCGTTAAAACTCGATAGAAAAATGCTGTTAAACCAAAAAAAAT